AAATTAAAAAAAAAAAAAAAAGATAAAAGACGCTAGCCAGAGTGATAGCTCAGTAGAATAAGCGCCTGCCTGGCAAGCACAGGATCCTGAGTTCAATTCCTGTTACTGCAAAAAAAAAAAGATAAAAGACGCTTTTTTTATACATTTCTTCATTTGAACTAGACTACACATCTTTAATAACTGTATTTAAATTTTTATCTACTACACATACGGTAACCAACAAACTAAGGCTATCAAAGCAGCTCTTATTAGCCATAAGACTATGAATTAATTTATCTCAAAATTGTTTCCATCCTCAAATTATACATTCATAAGCATCAAAGAGCTACACAATCTGTATCCTGGACAATCTGGACTCATCTGCTCTAATATGAAAATTCAAGTTTCTTTAGGAATGGTTGGTAGACAAATGTAATGTTCTTTCTCCTTTCTCTAATGGTGGTACATATTTGCATCCTCCAAACTCCCTCAGTACTTTTATATACCTATGTGAACATTTTATTATATGTATCTCTAAAACACCTACAAATTACACATCTTAATTGGAAAGGACCTAAACTATCTCACCTAGTTTAACAATATTAAAATACTTTGGGGGGCAGGAGAGATGGCTCAGTGAAATAAGCGCTTCCCTGGCAAGTGCAAGGGCCTGAGCTCAATCCCCAGTTATGCAAAAACAAAAAAAAACAAAAAACAAACCAAAAAAAACCTTCAGGAAAAATTTAGTCCGCACAACAACTCTAAACTGTTTGTGAATATATGCTTATCATATCCAGAAGAAACTTTACAATTCTAATTACCTTAACACTTAGGACATTTCACTAAACTTGTCCAGGAAAGTGCGAATGTTTTTGTTTTCACTGGAAATGGCATTTTTCAAACATTTTTCCTTACCACATAAACTTCTACAGATAAACAGGATATTGCAGATTGTATGCTCCATTGATGTCTATCCTCACTGCCCTTTTTCAACTTAAAAAATTTCCTATAAAGGATGTCTTACTGAGAAGTTTCACTGATCTATGCATGCACTTATGGCAGTAAAAATTTTTCCACATCTTGCTTTCCATTACCTGCATTTCAATATACCGAAGATCAGTTTTTTTCTTCTGTAAATCTTCCAATAATTGTTGGTCTAAGGTTACATTTGGTTCATTTTCTTGCAAAAGATATTCAGAATCTCGATCAATGTATGATTTGTCCCTGAATCTTAATGTTTTTTTTTCTTGACTTATCAATTTCTTTTCCTGGTTGTCAAGTTTCTTCCCTGAAGTTGATTTGTTGTCAGCAGGAACTTCAGTCCCATATCTATATTGACAAAATATTTGCAAAAGTCAAAGGAAGACCCACTCAAGTCACAGAACAAAACAATATACCGTCTTATTTTAAAATCACCAAAACTGAGAGATAGCGTGGTGGCACACACATGAACTCTCAGCTCTTAGGAGGCTATAAATAGGCAGATCACTCCAAGTCCAATCTAGTAGTAAGACCCTGAACATCCTGTAGACCCTTCCTTAAAATACAAATAAATAAAATTACCAAAATTGAAAGCTTGTATTTTTTCTCTGTGAAGCAGTTATGAAATATATTGATAGTCTTACAATAAATTCAGACCTTTCCTCCTTTTAAAGAGATGTTCCAAGTTAACTTGTCTTATGATAAAAAATATAAAAAATCCTTGTTCATTCCCTTTCCTAATAAACTAAAAAATTCTTCCTTGACATAGGTAGAATAAAAAAGATAAAAATCCACATTAATAGTCACTGCTTGACTACAATATTGTTTTCTGATTTTGTTGAATTTGCTTTATTTTACAAATTCATTTTCTTCCTTGAACAATATAAATCCAATACCACATTGTGTACTTATTAAAATGGTTCTACATTTTCTCCTAAATGATACAATTTTTACAATCTTTGTAAATCAAAAACAATTTAACTTTGTGCAGACCTAACCACAGAATATTTTGGAATACAATGATGGTGAGTAAAAGCACACAAAACTGAATACATCTCCTATTTTGTTAAGACTGTTTCCCAAATATTTAGCATTTTGGTATCTAAACTTACTTCTTTCTCCAAATCAATATAATCTTAAAAAAAAAATTTACTTCAAGACTAAATTCTAGGGGCCGGGGAGACAGCTCAGTAGAGTAAGCGCTTGCCTGGCAAGCACAAGGGCCTGAATTCAATCCTTGGTTTTGCAAAAAAAAAAGACTAAATTCTAGGGCTGGCAAGACAGGTCAGCACATTAAGCACTTGCTAAGATAAACACAGGGACCAGGGTGCGATCCCTAGCACCATATGCCCCAGGCCCCACTCCCAGGTGCACTGAGCTGGCCAGAAGCCAGGTGTGGTGCCATAAACCTGTAATCCCAGTGCTGGGGAGGCTGAAAACAGAATGTTCACTATGAGTCTAAGCAGCATAGTGAGACTCTGTACCAAATACAAAATAAAAAAAAAAAAGGACTAAATTCTACTTTATTGAAAAAAGTCCTGATTTTTTTTTTTGTATTTAGGACAGGGTCTACAGGGTCTCACTGCATAGATCAGAGATCAGACTCCTAGTGATCCTCCTGTTTACAGCCTCCCAAGTGCTGGGATTACAGGCATGCGCCACCACGCCCAGTCTCATTTGCTATCTCAGCATGCCCCAGGGGTGAGGCCGGCAAGGCAGGCCTGGGACTCAAACCCCACCCCCGGTCCCTGTGTCCGCTGATATTATTTTTTAATCATAATTTTTCAGCCAGTGGCAGAAAAAAAGTACAATATTTGCCTATTCTTTAAAAGAAAATGTTTTGGGCCTGCCAGATAGCTCAGCAGACTTAAGCACCTGCTTAGGCAGGTACAGGGATCAGGGTTTGATCCCCTGGTGAACCATGCTGATGCTAGTGCTGCTGCGGGTGGCTGTGCCAGGGCAGCCCCAACCCCAGGACATGCTGAGCCAGCAACTGAAACTGGGCATCAGTGACGCACCCATAATCCCAGTGCTTGGGGGCTGAAAACAGGAGGATCACTGAGTTTCATCTACAGAGTGATACCCTATAGACCCTGTACTAAATGCATTAAACATAAAAAAATAAATAAATGAACATGTTGTCTTACCCATGATCTTCTGGGGCAAACCAGGATATCTGTGCTTCTGAGTCTTTATCATTTTTAGTTTGGACAGAATTCAGCAGCTGTACAATTTGCTCTTCTCTTCGTTCGTCCATGTGTACTACCGCTCTCTAATTTGTACAAAGGAAAAAAATTTTTTATCAGCATAGGAAAGCATGTGCAACATGGTTTATTAATATAAGAAAACATGTTTGATAACTGAAAAGAAAGCAAAAGGCAACTGAAGTATGCTAAACAAATGCTTATGAAAGAAGCTAGTTACCCAACTTGCCCTAAAGCCTTCTCAATTTCCTAGACTAAATATATGTTAACCTTTTTGTGTGTGTCCTTGTAGACCATTTCATACTTTGTATCTATAAAATTAGATCTAAATGTAACTGGAAAACAGAATATGTGTGTGCATTTGTATAACTCTGGTTCCCTTAACTATCTTCAGGTACTTAGAAATCTGAAATTTTCAGTTACTAGAACCCAAATGTTCTGTTAAAGTATTATTTTTTATTTTTATTTTTATTTATTTTGGTGGAACCGGGGATTGAACTCAGACCTTGCGCTTACCAGGGAAGCACTTATTCCACTGAGCCATCTCCCCGACTCCTAAAGTATTATTTTGAAGTTCTTACACTAAAATAAATAAATTAGAAATTTACAGAGACTGACCTCAGAGGAAATAACTAAAACTAAACAGCTCTCACCACACATGAAAAATGAGTAAGTTGTTTCAGAAAATAAAAACAAAGAAAATGCCCTACTTGAAAAGGTCCTTGATGAATTATAAAAACTTTTATTCCTTCATTCATATATTTATTTTTCCGGAACCAGGGATTGACCTTACATTTGCCAGGCAGGTGCTTATTCTACTGAGCTACCTCCCAGACCCCAAAAAAATCTTTTTTTTTTTTTTTTTTTTTTTTTTTTTTCCAGATCTGGGGATTGAACTCAGGCCCTTGTGCTTGCCAGACAAGCACTTATTCTACTGAGCCATCTCCCCAGCCCCAAACTTTTAAATACAGAACTAAGAAATGAAATTATAGGCCAGGATTTAGAAAACAAAGAGTATCAAACTCAATCATAGGCAATTTTTGCTTTATTTTATTATTATTTTTTGTATTTTAGGGAAGGGTCTAAAGGGTGTTCAGGGTCTACTATTAGATCAGACTCGTAGTGATCTCCCTCTTTACAGCCTACAGGTATGCACCACCATGCCCAGTCTCAATTGCCATCTCAGCGCGCCCCAGGAGTGGGGCCGGCACAACAGGCCTGGGGATCAAACGCCTGGCCCCTGCACCTGCTTGCAGGCACTTTAATCCACTGAGCTATTTGGCCAGCCCTTGCCATATATATGGCCGGCCCATATATATATGACAAGTTTAACACTGGATTCTTAAAAAAAATTATGACCTTATAAACCTCAGGCTCTTTGTAACATATATGAATCCACAGGCAATGGGAAATACGTGAGTGGTGAAATTTAGTCTATTTGTTTAAAGAACTAAAACAGTAGGAATGTAAATACAGTAGTGAAAACGTTACTATTTTTAAAATATAGAATAAAGAGAATCTTAGAACTTTCTGACTAAATGGGAGTGCGAGAAGGAAAAAAGAATCAAAGATAGTTGTTTCCAACTCAAGGCTGGATTCTGAAAGAACAGCAGTGATGATCAATCATTAGAAGTTAGGACCAGGCCTAGCCTTTCAAGGTCAGTAAAGACTCGGGACATAAGAGAACCTGTACTGTAACAACATGTAACTCAGCTGTGCTCCAAACTTTCTGATCAAGAAGATTATGGAGCCACAGAGAAATGTGTTCGAGGATTTAAAGTGAGCCTGGGGAGAATCACATGGAGAGAAAAAACATTTTCTCAAGCTTTCACAGAGAGCAAATTGGTCAAGCAATGGCCGTGACTCACCCTCAGGTCAGACACTGACAAAAGAATGTACAAAAGGTGGTACAGGGCTACAGGATAAATACTGAGAGTACTTGGCTGACCTTATCAGATACAAAAGTTAGAATTCTGGGTATATAGGTCTTGCTATATCTTGGTCTTAACCATCCAGTAGAAAAGTATAAAAATGAGGTATGTAAAGTAAATCCATATTAATATGATGAGCTGTAAAAGGCTCACTCAAGTCAATAACTTCTGAGGATAACCCACTAACATTATAGACTGCTAGACAGTATTAGATGTTTAGTTGAATTCAAACACTTATAGTATTTAGATGCCAATAGAATATTCACCTCTGACAGGACAAAAAAATAAATAAATAAATACATAAATAATTTTTTTTTTTTTTTTTTAAAAAGTCAGGACCAGGGAGATGGCTCAGTCCAGTAAGTGCTTCCCTGGCAAGTTCAAGAGCCTGAGCTCAATACCTGGTTCCACCGAAAAAAAAAAAAAAGAAAAAAAAAAAAAGATTCTGTTTTTAGTTTATGACAGAATTGTGGAATGCTCAGCAAAGACATGGGGTTGAAATCACAGACAGAGAAGCCCTCTTATTTCAGAAAAAAAAACTATCTTCAACACAGATTGATAAGGACAGAACTTTAAACAAAGTCTTCAATTCAAGAGGCCAAAGCAGAAAAACAAGTCAGTAAATGAACACAACTGAATGTCTGTGTTTAAATCAAAAACCTAGGGGCCAGGGAAATAGCTCAGTTGAATAAGCACTTGCCTGACAAGTGCAAGAGCCTGAGTTTAATCCTCAGTTGGGTGGGGGGGGGCGGGGGGACTGTTACATCAAAACAAAAACCGAGCAAAAACTCTATCTTAAATTCTCCAACTCCATAAGCTATTACACTATTTCTCTTCATGCTACACCGAAGTGTTTCAATTTTCTCATCTTTCCCTTGTGCCACGCTATTACAATATACTTTTTACTCCCACCATTCCATACAATGGGCTCTCAAGGCTCACTAATGAACTTATTGATAAATCTTTCCTTTTTGTGTGTGTGGTACCAGGGATTGAACTCAGGACCTTGTGCTTGCCAGGCAAGTACTTATTCTACTGAGCCATCTCCCCATCCCTGATAAATCTAATGGACACTCTCATCTTTTGCTTCAGGACATCCTGCCACTATTGTTCCCTCTTCTTTCCCTTAAACACACTTTCCTGGTTCTAAAACATTATTCAATGCTGCATTTTTTTCTTTTCTGGCTCCTCCTAGATTCTTTTACAATCTCTTCCTAACCTTGTCCCCTTAATATCTGTGTTGTACCATTCACAGGCCAGCCACACTGACATCAGAGGAACCTGTTGGAAAAACAACCTTTCTAGCCCCAGTCTTACTAGCCTGCATCTACACGATAACAAGATGCATAGTGATTCTTCTACACACTCAGGTTAAAAAAGCAATTGTCTAGAAACTTCAGCCATGTCTTTTCCTCTTCTCACTGCTCACCTACACTCTATTATCCACAAGCCCATAAACTGCCAAATGTTTACCTCCAGTATAGGAATCACATCCATCCTTAAATTGTTACCTCCATTCCTGTGTCTTTGGTCAAGCCCATAACAGTCCTCCAAGACTGATCCTAATAGTCAAGAAAGTGCTATCTAGTATCACTTGTTCTCATTTCCTCAGATAAAGACTCAGGCTTGAGTCTTACCCCCTAAGCCACTTTAAACTGTCCTCTTCCCTTCTTCTCCACTGCCAAATTCTCAATTTATTATCTGCCATTTCCAACTTTAATTACTGTAAGAGCTACTTAGTTTTCCTGCCCAGTACTGCTTCTTTTCAATTCTTTCCCTATATTGCCACCATAGTGAAGTTAAAAAGTTAAAAACTCAACCATTTCACTCTATTCAATACTTCAATGGCTTGCTATGCTTATTCGGAAAGATCTACGAATTTCAAGGTGCTCCTTATTTTTCTAATCTATAGCTTTTCAAACCAGTTTGTAAAATGTTATTAAAAGATCATGACCCAAATTAGTCACAAAGCAGAAAAGTACAAAAACAACAGCAATTAAATGCAGAACAATGTGAAAGCAGGCTTATTATTTTATGAAATTTTTGTTTTAATTATGTTCCAACTGTACAATGAAATGCATTTCCTTTTGCACCAAGTAGCAAAGTCTGAAATCTAGGGCTCTACCTTCACATAAACACAGCTTACATCCATGCTCTTATTTTTTACTTTGTTCAAGATGTTCTTCCTGATCTGTGTTGTAATACATACGTCTGCCTTTATATGAAAAACTTTTCTAAATTCCAGAACCCGAAAAACACATAGACACATACACTTCGCTATCTTTCAAAGTTCAGCTTAAAAGGTGCACTCTCTCCAAAATCTTATAAAACCATTTGAGGTAGGGGATAGCCATATTCTCCTCATCCTAGTAATATGTCAATCTTATCTTCTGTTCATAGCCCCTAACATCCAGTCTCACTGTAATGTAGGTCCTGTTCAGTGCATAAAACACTCAAAAAAGTAAGTCCTCCATGAATGTTTCTTTGAAAGATCAGCAAAACATTAAAATGCTTTTTACTCTATAAGTATGAGGACGATTTTAAAATAAAAGCCATGAAAATTCTTTTTATTTATTTTTATTTTTTTTTTTTTTTGAAGAACTGGGGATTGAACTCAGGCCCTTGCGCTTGCTAGGGAAGCGTTTATTCTACTGAGCCATCTCCCTGGCCCAAGCCATGAAAATTCTGACAGGAAAGCAATCATATCAGGTTGAAGGCCAAAAGGAAAGGTCAGACTGGCAATATTTATATTTCAAGATCATTGAAAAACTCACTTTACACAGTAGAATGCTATGACAAAGTAATAAAAAGCAAAAATGAATCATGTTTTCAAGACAATTATATTCTTTCAGGTTGGGGACTTGAGCTTAGGAAGTATATCAAGGGAAACCTGCTATGCTGAAGCTAAGAAAAACATGCTACCAAAATGTATTAGAATGAGAAAGAAGTGGCAGTTTTTAAATCTCAAATTGTAAGATAAGCTATGGGTCTAATTTTTCTTTCAAAAGCTCACTATGAATAGCTCTATAAATGACAGATTTAATGGGATGTAGGTTTGGAACTCAGCAAACTAGCTAGGAGACTACAAACAAAACAAAATAGTGGTCAATCTATAATACTATAATTGCTGTAAAGGTAAGTGGTTAGATTTGGAATATATTACATTAAGGAAAAAGCCAAGCAGGATAGCAGGAGTCTGCAGCCCTCAGTACTCAAAAAATAAAAACATGGCTGACCATTTACAATGTAACCCACTCTGGAATCCAGGTAGGCTCAATGCTAAGACAGTGCTTTCAAACCACAATACCATGTTTGCAATGTACACAAAAGACAACAGACTGATTTGCTAAATCTGTAACACTACTGGAACATAATATCTTTCAGATTACTTTAGCAATGTGCATAGAACCTTAATGGACATAGGTAAATAAAAGCTGATAAAGTTATTGTATATATCTTTACAATTAGGATTTCAATTACTGCTCCAATTTCAGTATGGCTTAATTATGCTTCTCCAGATTTTCAAAAAAATTGTTCAATCAATTGTGGGACTGCTGTCAAAATATAGGTTTGTTTGTTTTTTAAAGAGAAGAGGGCCGAGGAGATAGTTCAGTAGAATAAGCAGTTGCCTGGCAAGCGCAGGGTCCTGAGTTCAATCCCTGGTACCGCAAAAAAAAAAAAAAAAAAAAAAGAAAAAGAAAAAAAAAACTGACAATTTCCTAGAGACTAACCAAATCATATCCTCAAGTTTGTTTTCCCTCTAGCATGCTACTTTTCCTTCGTAAAGAGGAGCTGTTAATCATTACAAATTTCCAGACCTCAATACACACACACAACACACATACACAAACACATATACACATATCTCGCGATTGTGGCTGTAATTAAACTGTAATAACAGCCAGCCTATCTTTTTGAGCGATCTACAATCAGAATAATACTTGACACTTTCGTCCTGCGAAAACGTATCTGCAATGTAAGGCCACCATTTTTGACTTCGCCAAGCAAATAATTTAAGCAAAGGTGACAATAATATATTACGAGAGGAAAAGGATACACGACAGCATGCCTAAAAATTTCGACGGAAATTTACATTCTCATGTTATTTAAGCAAAGAACACACAGTGAAAGTAAAGCGGTGAAACATCCGCTAGAAGAAGCTTCAGCACAACACACACCCGCGCTCCACTCACACTTCATAAAACACGTGCACCAGTCACAAATGGACAAAGACTGGAGGCAGCGGGATAAAAAATAAACGGGGTGCGCATCACCCCTGCTACTACCATCTCTGATTACCTCTTGCCTCTCCGCATCCTTGTTCTTCTGCGTCTGTTTTTTCGCGTACCACAAGCCAATGTCGCGGCCTTTCAAGTGTCCGGGGTGCCGACCCCTTCCTCCTCGACCACCTCCGCCGCCGCCGCCTCCAGAGCTCCGACTCCCTCCGTGGCCCCCTCCACACCCACCACTGGAACTGCGAGAACCGCCATCGCGGCCCCAGTTCTGATGGTAATCATAGCTCATTGTCCGGGACAGCTACTCCCCAGTGAGAAGCCACAACTGCTGGAAATGGCGTCTGGGCCCGGAAGCGGATGCACATGTACTTCCGTTTTGCTTCCGGAGCCCAGAGCGAGAAGGCGGGCTCTTTAGCGTCACAAGCAGCCGTTTCCGGTGACGTCAGGTCCGCCCGTCGCGGAATACCCGCGAGGGGCGTAGGTGGAGTTTGGTGTGAGAGCCTGTGGTGTTCCGTCGGAATCAGGGCTAAAGGCAGGCATGCAGTTTTTAAAAATTTCTTACGTTTCATAAAGTCTAAGCCTGGAAAGTAATAAAATGGGTTTAGAGGTTTGTTTCTGGTAAAATCCGGAGTTTGCTTCTAATTAACTCCAGGGAAATAAATAGCAGTTCAAACAAAACATGTAGATCAATGAGTAGTTTCCTAACAGCATAAAATCATGAATTTGCTGCCTTTCTTGAGAACGGCTTAATACCTGTTTCATGTATGTGATTAAAACTAAACGGGCCTCTCTGTTCTTTAAAGGATTGTCACTTGTCCACTACCAAAATTAAGTGGAGAAGAACACTTAAGTCGTGTAAGTAAGCAGCATTTGAGGATCCCATGTTCCTTTAAAGCCACATATTATTAAGCAGACCACTGAGTTTGTGCAAACTTTCTCAATCACGAAGTGATCGGGCCACATAGGCTCGATATTCACCAGAGGAGTCACTTCACTTACCTTTGAGTGATTTAAACTTGTTGGGGATACTGCAGAAGGCAAGTATGGTATATGAACTTACATTTGCTTACATTCTTGAGAAGATAAAGGCAGAAATCCTTGTACGATGGATTGAAAAAGGGAACTGCTGTGTATCCTGGAGGGTCCAAAATGTTTGGTTGTGACCTAAACGTTATTTGAGTATTTGATTCCTAGTATCTTTTATCTAAAACAAAAAGAAAAACATAAAAACAAAAAACCTGATCCTTAAAAAACCCTCAAGAACTTAGTTGTAATAAATCCCTTTACAAGGAGGGGAACCAGGGAACTGGAGACTGGAAATCAGCAAGCATACTACTTGGACCCTCTCACAAAACTAACACACTTCACGTCTATTCTTAAGGTCCTTTAATTATTTTTTTTAATTTTTTTTATTTTTTATTTTTATTTTTATTTTTTTGGCTGAACTGGGGATTTGAGCCATCTCCCCGCCCCGTAAAATTCCTTTTATGTTTTCTAAAAGCTTTTTCTCATAAATGTTCTCTCTACCTCCCTGATTATGATCATATATACCAGTCCCCTTTTATCTGTGGCTTCACTTCCATTTATTTCAGTTGCCCTGATCTGTTATACAAAACAGTAAATAAGAAATTCCAGAAATAAATGACTCGTAAGTTTTCAGTTGTGTGCTCTTGTAAGTGGCAGAAGTTGCATGCCGTTCCATTCTGCCTTGTGTAGGACCCAAATCATCGCTTTATTCAGTATCTCTGCTTGTATAAGCACCCACTCCTAGTCATTAAGCCTTCTTTTACCAACTGTAGTGGTACTACTGTATTTGCATTGAAATTTACAAGTGATGGCTCCAAAGCACGGTAGTGTTGCTGACTATTTAGATAGGTCAAAAAGAAACTATAATGTGCTTCTTTTAAGTGCAAATTCTCCAGTTTAATAGGGAAAAAAAATATCATTGCTAAGCTGTATAAGAATAAATCTATTGGGAAAATTGTGAAGAAGGAAAAAAAATTGACATTAATTTTGCTGTCACACTTCACATTACAAGTTATGGCACACTGGCAAGCGCAAGGACCTGAGTTCAATCCCTGGTTCTGCCGAAAGAAAAAAAGGTATGGCACAGTACATGAAAAGTGCTTAGTTAAGACAGAAGGTTTGTGGGTGAAAGATACAAACAGAAAACATGTTAAACTAATGGTTCCATGTTGTCTGAGAAAGCCTTGAGCTTTAGCTCATCTCATCGCTGTAGACACCATCATAAGAAAGGTGGGTATAAGACAGTAAGATATTTCATGTGGGAGAAAAAGAGCATATATACATTTTTATTATACTACTTTTGTAATTGTATTTATTTTTAGTGATGTTGACCTCTTACTGTGCCTAATTTATGAATTAAATATTATCATGTTAGCACTATCTGGAGTTTTAAACTTCCATGAGGCATCTTAGAGTATGTCCACCACAGATAAGGGTACACTGCTGTAAGAGTCCAAAATTCTTGGTCAAGCAATGGCCGTGACTCATCCTAATGGCTGACACTGTCAAAGGTTCTACAAAGTGCGGTACAGGATTACAGGATAAATCCTGAGGGTATTTGACTGACCTTATCAGATACAAAAGTTACATTTCTTGCTATATAGGTCTTGCTTTATCTTG